TTGCTGAATAATAGAATTTCTTTACCTTTGGGCAGAGCTACAACTAATTCAATAGGTTCACCATCAAATCTTTCACTCCACCTGGATGGAGGGAGTCGAGACTATTTAAATTCAGGGATTATTAACTGAATAATTTTATGTGTAACACTGAATAAAAATATATTATGTTTATTATTTTCTTACAAACATGTTGCCACATTTTCAGAAATGCATTGCAGTACTGTATACTGTGCCATTTCATAATGCCATGTGGCTATTTGAAAGTCAGGACAACCATATCAATAGTAAACTCAAAGACCCTAATACTTAGCAGAATTAAACAAGGGCGTTTTGAAAAGGATTTCCTAAGAAATTGGTGTGCCAATAGAAGTGTGGAAATATTTGCCAAACGTTGTGGAGAAATTTGACAAAAACGCAGACAATTGCAGGGAAATTTGACAAATTTTGCTGAAAATTGCAGGGAGTTTATTGGTGCTATTGAAGTACATTTTCTTGTCAACCTACTTTTTTCATTTTATTAATAAAAACTAAACATGAGGAAATAACACATACTAGATTGTTGCAAAACATTTTTATTAATTTCTTGTTTAACAAAAACTGGGTGGCCCATTTGGGGGACAGGGGCAGACAGGACACCAGCCCAGGTCTGAAGGTCCTGGAGATCAGCCAAAAAACATGCTCAGGACCAGTGTCCTTAACTATGGGGCTACAGAAACTCACCACATCCTGCTTCTCAGGGTCTAGCACCACAACACCAACAACAAAATTACATTTGTAAAGCTCCTTTCACATCAGGAAGACATCCCAAGGTGCTGGACAGTCAGGAATCATGACCCGAGAGTGGGAATGCAGGGTTTGGGATGAGGGAGGGCGGAGAGGATGGCTAAAGCCACGGTCAAAAAAGGGGGGTCTTGAGTCATGCCTTGAATGAAGGAAGGGAGGGAGCAAAGTGAAGGGATTGTGGGATGGAATTCCAAAGAGTGGGGACAGAGAGGCTGAAAGCTTGGCTGCAGATGGTAGGGCGAGTCGGGCGGGAGACATGAAGCAGGCCTGGGCCTGCTGGATGGAGGGAGTGGACAGGTTAATAGGGGGTCAGCAGGTCAGAGAGGTAGGACGGGGCAAAGCCATGGAGTGCCTTGAAAGTGAGGACAAGGATTTTGAATTTTATCCTCTGAGGGATGGGGAGCCAGTTGAGCCGGGCAAGTGTGCGGGTGATGGAGTAACGGAGCCTTGTGCAGGAGAGGACACGAGCTGCAGAATTCTGGATGATCTGCAGCTTGTGGAGGGAAGAGTTGGGGAGGCCGACAAGGAGGGAGTTTCTGTAGTCGAGCCGTGAGTTGACGTATGCGTGTATGAGGGTTTCTGCGGCCTGAGGGGTGAGACAGTGGCAAAGTCAGAGAATGTTGCGAAGGTGGGTAGACGGCAGAGTGGGCTGTGGCATGGATATTGGGGAGAAAGGACAGTCATAAACACACACGCATGCAGAAGAGATGCACTCGCACAGACATTCACAAACAAATGGAGAGAAACGGACACACAGACGCACTCACACAGAAACTCCCCTCCGTCCCCCACACCCCCCCCACACACAAACACATAGAGAGAGACGCACACAGACAGTCAATAAATAACACACACACACAGACACACAAACAATCACAACAGCGGGGCCTCCAAGTGGAATGAAGCCCATTTCCCAATTGCACCGCACACGCTTGTCCGGATTCTCTCGGCTCATAGCGACGTCGGGTAAACAGCCGGCAGAAGCCCCGGGGCCAGAAACCTTTATAGAGGAGGCACTGTTTATAGCGGCCGCACTTTTCTGTTGGCCCAGGTGATACGTTGTACCAAGAAACGTGTCACACCAAAACTGCACATATAATAAACAAGTTTTTATAATAATAATAATTCTTCCATTTGATATAACGCTTTCTCGTGTCGTCGAGATTTCTCAAAGCGCTTCACAGGAGGGTGGTGTGACTCGTAATGTATTTTGTTGAACACGGCAGCCAATTTGTGCACAGCAGTGCTCCCCAAAACAGCTATAGAGTGAAGGGCCAATATTAATTCATTCTAAAAAATGTTTCAATTAATTTCAAATTGATAGTAAAATCGGAATGGGACTTGCGCATTTATTCCTAGCAATTGCCACAGTCTTTGTAATTTTTATGGTTTAGCAGGATGTAACTAAGGTATACAATCCTTTACGTATAAAATTACAATGCAAGGTGGCTGGTTTCTTTTAATCCATGTCTCACAATATTATTAAAATGAATAATTGTGGCAATAAAAGATTTTTTGTATCGCTTGAAATGATAATAAATGAATAAATTCCTTTAAAAAAATGCGGTCACTCAATCCGCGACTGTTTGCGGGACACTGCCATGCGCCGCGTTTTGCCCGACAAAATACACAGTCAATTCACTTTACAGTACGTCCCGTGAAGCGCTTTGAGAGGTCTCGATAACGGGCCATATCAAATGCAGGGACCAATATTATTATCATTATTATGATGATGATGACGACGACGACGAAGTCAGGAAAGCGAGCGAAAACAAAACAAAATTTGCAAGGGCAAAAACTACTCCAAAGTGTCTCGAAACACTTGTTTCAGTGGCAGAAAGCCCAGCCAGCAACAGCCAGCCTTCAGGGGGCTGCATGTGGAGAGGTGAAGTGCAAAAAGGAATGGGTTTTGCCAGGACCAAGACCTTGTTTACAGGAGGCGCTGTTCCCACTATCCTCCCTCCCTCCGGGGGGTGGGTGTGTGTGTGTGTGTGTACGCGGAGGGAGGGCGGGCGAGTGATGGTAACAGCGGAGGCAACGCGCATGCGCCCGGGCATTCCAACATGGCTGTCTGGGCCGCTCGGTTCCCTCCGCACTGACTGACGCTGTGGAGGAGGAGGAGGAGGAGGGAGAGAGGGAGGGAGGGAGGGAGAAGGAGGGGTGGTGGTGAAGGAGGAGGAGAAGGAGAAGAAGAAGAAGAAGAAGAGAGAGCAATCTCGAGAGAGAGAGCGAGAGAGAGAAAAAGCGGGTGAGACCTTTGCAGAATCCCTCAAACTTTCGGTTTGAGAGGGAGAGGGTTACTGTAGTCACCTCACCCTCACCCCCTCACCCTCACCCCCTCACCCTCACCCCCTCACCCCCTCACCCTCACCCTCACACCCTCACCCTCACCCTCTCACACCCTCACCCTCAACCTCACCCCCTCACCCTCACACCCTCACCCCTCACCCTCACACCCTCACCCTCACACCCTCACCCTCACCCCCTCACCCTCTCACCCTCACACCCTCACCCTCACCCCCTCACCCTCACCCCCTCACCCTCACCCCCTCACTCTCACCCTCACACCCTCACCCTCACACCCTCACCCTCACACCCTCACCCCCTCACCCTCACCCCCTCACCCTCACCCCCTCACCCCCCCCTCACCCCCTCACACCCTCACCCTCACCCCCTCACCCTCACCCCTCACCCCTCACCCTCACCCCCTCACCCCTCACCCTCACCCCCTCACCCTCACCCCCTCACCCTCACCCTCACACCCCCTCACCCTCACACTCACCCCTCACACCCTCACCCCTCACCCCCTCACCCTCACCCCTCACCCTCACCCCTCACCCTCACCCTCACCCCTCACCCCTCACCCCCTCACCCTCACCCTCACTCCCTCACCCTCACTCACACCCTCACCCTCACACCCTCACTCACCCCCTCACCCCCTCACCCCTCACCCTCACCCTCACACCCTCACCCCTCACCCCTCACCCTCACCCCTCACACCCTCACCCTCACACCCTCACCCCTCACCCCCTCACCCCTCACCCTCACACCCCCTCACCCCCTCACACCCCTCACCCTCACCCTCACCCCCTCACCCTCACCCCCTCACCCTCACCCTCACCCCCTCACCCTCACACCCTCACCCTCACCCCTCACACTCACCCTCACCCCCTCACCCCCTCACCCCCTCACCCCCTCCTCCTCACCCCTCATCCCCTCCCCTCACCCTCCATCCCCTCACCCTCCACCCCTCCCCTCACCCTCTCTCCCTCTCCCTCCCCATCCATCCCCTCTCTCCCTCCATCCATCCCCTCTCTCCCTCTCCATCCATCCCCTCTCTCCCTCCATCCATCTCCTCTCTCCCTCTCTCTCCCCATCCATCCATCGCCTTCCTCCATCTCCATCCATCCCCTCTCACTCTCCATCCATCGCCTCTCTCCCTCCCCATCCATCGCCTCTCTCCCTCCCCATCCATCCCCTCTCTCCCTCTCCATCCATCCCCTCTCTCCCACTCCATCCACCCCCTCTCTCCCTCTCCATCCCCTCCCTCACTCCCTCCCCATCATCCCCTCTCTCCCTCTCCATCCATCCCCTCTCTGCCTCCCCATCCATCCCCTCCCTCCCTCCCTCCCTCCCTCCCTCCCTCTCCATCCTCCCCTCTTCCCTCTCCATCCATCCCCTCTTTCCCTCTCCATCCATCCCCTCTCTCCCTCTCCATCCACTCCCTCTCTCCCTCGCCATCCATCCTCTCTCCCTCCCCATCCATCCCCTCCCTCACTCTCCATCTATCCCTTCTCTCCCTCTCCATCCATCCCCTCTCTCCCTCTCCGTCCATCTCCTCTCTCCCTCCCCATCCATCCCCCCCCTCCCACACCTATCCCCTCCTCCCCATCTACCCCCCTTCCCCATCTAACCCATTTATCCCTCCCCCATCTATCCCCCCATCTATCTCCCCCCTCTCCCATATATGCCCTCCCCCATCTATGCCCCTCCCACATCTATCCTTCACTCTACCTTCTCTATTCCTCCCCCCCGCTCTCTATCCCTCCGCCCCGCTCTATCTATCCCTCCCTCTCTCTCTCTCTCTCTCTTTGTGCTTTCATTCATGAGAATTGGATTCCGTAACGTCGGCTACAAATGCCACGTATACTTTAGTTCGGTTTATCTGTCTGTACCATTCGCACCAAAGCCAGACCTCCCCCTCCCCAAAACAAAAGAGAGACACAACCACTTCGCTCGGTCGCAGCCAAGAGTCGGCTCCAGGAGAGGCTGCCCCTGACTTTGAAGCTTTTGTTTTAGTTTTAATAAGGAGAACGGAAACTTTCGATCCAGGTGGCACTGGGTGCAGAATAGGTACCAGTGTAACTTGTCGGGGTGGTGGTGGTGTGGGGTGTGGGGTGTGGGGTGGGGGTGTGGGGGGAGTCCAATTTGTAAATTTGCTTTCGCTGTGTTTTGCTATTTTTTTTAAACTTGTTTTTTTTTCAGATTTGTGTTCCTTTCAGATCATTATTTTTGTTCGTTTTTTTTTAAGTAAACAAACCCCTCTTTGCCGTGCTGCTTACAGATGTGGCCGCAGTTAAAGAATGAGTTCTGGTTGGCCTGGGGGGGGAGAAAATCCTGTAAAATCATGTTGCGCAATAGTTTATATAACATTATTTGAGGAATCGTGTAACGTTTGAGGGAAAATCTGCTTCCAGCGAGGCCCAAGGGGGGAAATGTTGACTGCTTTATGTACTGTGTTATGGGTGTTCCTCGCTGAATGCTTTTTGAGCAAGAATGTTTTGACAATCTTTGGGGGGAATCATTCTAAAAAGTAAACTTGCCCGCAGGACTAATAATTCGGGGACTGGCTGGCGAGACTATTTAGTCTAAAAAAAGAACGGTTTGTTTTTAATATCCCCAAGTAAACCTGGGCAAATGGAGTTTAGGGTAAATGGAAACCTAACGCACATTTGGCCTCAAGTCTGTTGCTGTCTGTGGAGTTTTGCAAGTTGTAGATCACGATCTTTGGATGTTATGAAGTGTGAAGCAAATAATGGATGCTGTGAAGAGTTGATTTGTTTAATATTCCCACTGGGTTGCCAAAAGTGAGGTCACCTTTTTGGAATGTTCTTTCAATGGAAACCCCAGCTCACCTACTTAATGGATCAGTTATGCTATTCAGCGACAGGTGGGACAAGAAAAGAAGGTAGAAAAGGTGGGATCTTAAAAAAAAATGGTTCAAACGTGGCTCTGATCAATCCTGTTTATAAAACAGATGGAAAGAAATTGTACTTTTTGTTCAGTTTTTTTTTATTGTTTACATAGTGAATGTCAATGACATTGGAGGTATAAAGCCATGTTCCAGAGGCTAATGCTCTTATTTATTCTGCTGGATATGAAGTAATATCGCTTCGTACAATAGTGATTAGGAGCTGGAAGGCTCATTTATACTTCCTTTTCTTAACTACATTCAGTAAAGCATATGCCAAAACTCAGTATTATTTTTTTAATGTTGAACAATAATGTTAACCTCTTAATTGCTAGTTAAATTACTGATACTGACTTGATGTGATAACCTGCTGTACAATACATAGGCAACGAATATAAATTAGGACAACATTCGACTTGACACTGATATCCTTTTCCAGCCCCGATCAAATAGCTTGCCAACACTGTTCAGGTTCACTGATTAAGAAGAGACCCTTGGGATGCGGTACTGTGGGGGGGGTGGTGGAGGGGTTTAAACATATTGGGTTTGACTAGTTGCAGGCAATAATGCATGTAACTTGATATGCTTGAACATTTGAAAGTTGGCTGCTGTAATTGACAGCACAATTCGCCATGGATGTAGACACTGACGGTGGTTTGATTCATGAGATTTTTGTCAAGAATACATATTATCTGCTGTTGTAGTCTGAAATGGAGTCTCTGGTGATGAATCAGAAAAGTCTATGAGTACCCCTTCTTTCAAGGAAAGAATAAAATTCAATCCACATTGACCTTGAGAACCTCCCTGGCAAACAACTAAAAACCACAGAGGCAGAAGCTGCCCATCCCCTTGCCCTTTGGTTTGAGGTTTGGGAATGTTAAATGTCTTAAAATTATCAAACCATATCCTTTAAACAAGTTTTCTGAAGGCTTGTTTTCACTTTATATGCACATTGTTGTGTCTGTAAGTTCTATCTTGTTTCAGAATTAGCCTACAGTAAGAAACGTGTGTTAGTTGCTATCATCAGTATGTTATGGAATAGTTACACTCTTGCTGAGCTCCACTTTTCCAATCTGTTGAGAGAGAAAGTCCAGATGAAGAAAATGAAAAGGATGCGAGATGAGAACTTCATAAAATGGATTACTTTGCTGAAATTTTAATGACAACCAAGATCATGTGTTAAAATGTGAAGACTCTTTATGTAATGGGTTGAAATACTGACATTTCAATTCATCCAAAAGTACTCAAAGGAAATCTCTTTAAACAATACTGGTCAAGTGAAACTAAATTTGACTCAGGAATGCTTGTTACTGTTGATGGATGCAAGAGAAAACATGTTTAATTTTTCCCATTATATATTCGGCACCTCTGTGACATACAATCAATGGAGTTAAAAAGCCATTCTTTTCTCAAAAGTCTGAATCTTTGTTTCAATTTTGGTCTAGTTGTGCACAAGAGTATGACAGAAATACTATGCTATTTTCACAAATGTTAGGTTATTAATAACAACACTTGCATTTGTACAGAGCCCCTCATGCAGAGTAGCATCCCAGAGCAGTTGACAGTGGCGTAGCATGATGATGAGGAGGGGCGTGATGATCCTGAAAATGAGGAAGGAGGAAGCAAGGCGGAGGATGATATTTTGTTTACACAATGCATTTGGCAATAAACTGCTGCAATTTTCGTACGTGTATAAATATGGGTTGAGCCAGCAGAGTTTTTACTCAACTTGACACCACCTGCGGTGCGATTTTCATCCGCTGTAGTGCAAATTGGATGCAAATCCCATTGGCCCATTGGGCAGGCATGTACCGTGCTTCTCTCTCTATCTCTTTCTTTTGTTCACCTCCCCTCTCCCCCAAGGTTTGCTGAAGGTACTCAAACAGTCTGTTGGATGGGTAAAGGTCTTTGAAGTGACTATTTAATAATATTTGAAACAGAATGCGCAAAGCATCAAATGATTCATATATAGAACTTCAAAAGGTATTTTTATATTGTGGCCAAAGCTGTAATATGATGGAGGAAATATGAATCACCCAAGTCTACATCATTACACTGCTGAGCATCATTACACAGCAGATGTGTTTGACTTTGTTTTATAATGGTAACATTGCTTAAAAAATGGAACTAAAAAAGTTACCAATAACTCGATTATCTTAGGTGTCCATATACCAAATTAGATGATCTGTAATGTATTTGCTTATTTTGCTTGGAAAAACAAGAAATGAATGACCATCTGAGGCAATGTTTGGAACTTGATAGCGTTGTTGCTTGTAAACTTGCCCCTATGCATCTCTTCCCATAACTCGTAGCCAGGTAACCTCAGGTTAGCTCTTTGGCAGAGTGAGGGTGGTCACTCATGCTTTTCTGGTCCACCTATTGGTATCTGCTTATAGATCAATCCATTTGTGAGATCTATTCCAAGCTTATTCTATTGATTCCTTTAACTTCTCCTGTTGAATTTTTAATGAAGTTTACCAGGAATATGATAGCAGGTGTGACATTGTTTAAACTGCTTGTCTGATGCATCCAGTCACTTATAATTCACATTTGAAATTCACTGGTGTTTTGTTTTTGCAATTTGGCTTAATGCAAGTCATTTGTTGCTAGATTCATTGAGCTGAAATGTTAACCTGAGTAAATTGACCGCTTTAATGGACCATTTAAAATTGAGCCCAAACAGCCACATATACATAATTGCAATACATCAAATTCAAGGAATGCTTTATTGATGAAACTATTTCTTTAGCTGCAAAGTTATTGATATAAAATTTAGGGCACTGTATTTAATTACCAATTAAGCATGATTGGTGTTTTATTTTGTTATAGATAACATGTAATTTCTAAAAAAAAATGTTTGTACAGGCTTGTTTTGGTGTATTATATGTCCTTTTTTAATGCAAAAAACTGTAGAGATAGTGAGCCACATAAGTTTCACGTTTTTCTTCCTGTTGATGTGAAATTCCAATTTCACCTCCAAAGAATCTCACTGGAAGAGAGGTTGTGGGTTTGATAACCGTTTAGACGGTTATAGTGGTTGTCAAAGATCGAATGAGGTCAAAGATATAGCTGCAATGTAACAGTGAGAGGCAACATTTATTCAAATTCAGTATTGGTGATAGTTAAATAGAACAATAAATTAAAGCGAATCTATCAAATACTTCTTGGGTTGAGGCTATAGTGCTCTAACTTATTTAGTTGTTGGGCACCAACATAGTATAGCATTGACCTTTACAGTAGTTCATAAGTTTTTTTTCTTTTAACTTCTTACTACCTGTTTTTAGGTTTCAAATAACTGTTTAACATTTCATCAGTGTTCCTACTATTCTGAAGAACAAATTTGCCAAGTATGTTTGCAAACAACTAAAAGTCACCGTGTAACTACAATTTTCATTCTTGTGATACATCAGAGTGTACATGAATCAGCATGTCACTGTGACTGTCAGTTTGATCTTTTATTACATTTTGCTTGAGCTTAGATATTAGCCTAAGGTGACTAAGGAAATTACTTACATTTTATTTAGCTTACCTCTGTGTAAACTCTTTAGCCGTAGTGCCACTTTATTTGAATTGTGTATACAGGATATCAGTGTTGTCATTTGCTGGAAACTGCTGCTGACTCTGGCTTAATCTTGTGTGCTCTCTTCCAACACCCACCCTCCACTCCTGGTTACATAAGAGGTACTATACCAGATGGTGGAGATTTGTGTTTAAAGCAGGAGGCCGGACAAAGTGAACGTGGTGCACTTTGGACCTTCATGTCCTTTGTAATTGATCAAAAATACCCATAACACACACGTTATGAGCACTTGCACAGCATATTGGTATATTTGATAATTGTGTTGAATGAAAAAAAGCTTCAGTAAATTCAAATTGTGGGAGGGATCAAGTTATTGTTTAATGTTTAGATATTGTGAGACAGTGTTTTAAGAAAATATCTTAAAAAGTCAAATGCAGTAGATTTCAGATGCAGAAGATGATCTGTTTATTTTATGTTATCCTTTTGGAATTTTCAGCCCTCTTTAGAAGAAGCATTTTTTTCCAACTTTCAAAAAAAGGACGAATAAAGATGACGTCTTAAAAGATTCATGATTTATCGCTTGTTTGGTTTCAGTTTTGCCACAGGGTAATTGGATGGAAAGTGTGGTGCTAACAGCTTATT